TTTTTAACTTATGGATAAAGAAAAATAAGACAAACGGAACTTTCTTTATGCACATATTAGAATCTTAACGTTAGTTTTGTACTCCTCTACATTTCTTCACAAATATATACGAAAATATCGTGAGAGCAAAAATTGTATGAGAACTCATGAGAACTTTTTCCCGACAGAAAATAGCATCTGAAGAACGATAAAAAAGTTATCGCGTTCGTTGTCACACACCGATGTGTCGCGCTAAATATGACTGGTCGGCATAAGCCGACAGCTCTTTTATCAGGAGATATCCCCGTATATCGATGAGTCTCCCATACATCCTAACTGAACACAAATCATTGATACATTAGAGTATGATACAGAATTCGATAATTTTTTTTATCTCTATACTTTCCGATATATCTTGAGATTTCTTCTTAACTGCTACATATTGCGTTTCAGTTTATCACAACATATCGAAGTGTGACAACGAATACCATAATCTTTTTATCGCGAGAGTATCGGATGATAAGATGGCATTTTGATACATCCCGATAAACTCAAGTTATGTATCAAAAGTTTAATTCTGATAGACTTAAGCAAAAATTAATTTTTTCTGACTGTCGAACCTTACATTGATGAAGTTGTAAAGTTTTGTGAAACAAAAATTAAGTCGAGAAATAACAACATTTCTTTATCTAACCCATATATTAAATTCATCAATTTCGTACAATAAAAGCCGAACAGGAAAAACGGAGCAGAGTATAAATTTACAAGAACATCTTTCTTCTGTCTGTCCACTTCTCGACCGCTTTTACCACTCTGTCCACATCATCCTCTGTCATTGGTATCATTAATGCAATAAATCCTTGTTTTCCCATGTAAATTCTTTCTTCCAGCATATCCAAAAAAAATAAATCTCTTAACTGTTCATCTTCCACCGTAACAATCTCTTGTGTTGTCAGCTCATTTAGCTTCTTACTAAAATGTGGAACCATCACAGATCCAATTCCCGATATCCAAATTTTGTTTGTTTTATTCTTAAAAGTCTGATCAAGTCTTGTCCTCAGTTGATCACCAAGCTCGTTTAGTTGTCTTAAAACATCTTTAGTCAAAACACTTGCTCCAGCAATGCCGGCGCTCATTGAAACGACATTATTGTTAAAAGTTCCAGAATGCGTATGACTACCACTAATAGTTGGATTAAACAAGTTCATTATATCTTTCCTGCCGCCAAATGCACCAAACGTCATTCCTCCACCAAGATATTTCCCCAATGTCGTCATATCCGGCATGATATTTAATTCACCTTGTAAACCACCCCAAGCCAATCTTGATGTTATGACTTCATCAAATATGAGCAGAGCGCCTGCTTTATTCGTTTCATCACGAAGAGTCGATATGAAAGCTTTTGAACCAGGAATTGCTCCAGCAGAACCCAGCATGGGTTCTAGTACAACGGCTGCAATATCTTTTCCATTCTCTCGTATCAATTCTCGGCTGCCTTCAACATCATTATACTTTCCAAAAATGTACTCGTGTGGAACATTGATAGGAGAAGACTTGTTCTTCCCACGGAACGATAATACACCACCATGATATCCAGGACAAAACACCATGACCTTCTTCCTTCCCGTAAATGTTATTGCAGCCGCAATAGCCATCAAATTCGCTTCTGTCCCACTGTTAGTAAATCTCACTAATTCGATACTCTTAAATCGTCCGACGATATGTTTAGCAAGAATAGGTTCAAGACTATTATGGCTTATATTGATCCCGTTATCAATAGTTTCTTTGATCGCCGCTATTATTTTTGGATTAGAATGTCCGTAGATTCCAGCGCTATATTCGCCCAAAATATCAAGATATCCGTGTCCATCTACAGAAGTGAGATGACAACCTTGACCAGACTTGAATGCAATAGCTAGAGAAAAAAACAAATAAAACCAGCTTTTAATGATAACTCGATACACGTACGGAATGGCGCATAATGAAGGATTGTTCGACCGTTTGAACCTGGTAAGAATGTCGCAGATTCTTTGAATTGCTTTAACGACAGTGGATTATTTTCCACAAATCTTCCTTGAGCGATTTGCAGCTCTTCAGATAAAGTTGATGTCGACATCCTGTCTTAATTAAAATACAAGCTATTAAAATAAATATCGTCTTGGCTTATCCTCCAAAATCAAGTATTCTGCAAGTGACAGATAAGAGCCAGTAGCACGATTAACAGAGTGGATGCTGTTAGCATAATCGTTTTTTTACTGAAAGCAGTGAAGTAACAATGCCTATGATTCAGTTACTACTGAAGTTACGGTGAATTACAAAGATGGATGAACCGAAATCGAAATAACCTGCCTCACAACTCTCTTGCACATTTCTTCAGCGTGCAAACATCCCGAAAAAAACAAAAACAAATGTTCAAACGGCAACAAGAATTAAAACGAATGCTCGAATTTCAAACTTCAGACAATTCATCATTAAATAAAACAACAAATTTAACAAACCTTTCAATTGCAACTAACTCGTTTTTTCCTCTATCCTATTAGTAGTGTGTAAAAACTAAGCTTTCGAATCTAAGCATTCATCATCAAAGTTATTTAAAAATATATCAAGCACTATATAATGAATAAAGATTTGAATCGGTATACACACATAACTCGAATTAATCTATACTAAACAATTGTTATAATAAAGTTGGTCATGTGTTAACGAAAACTGTGGAGTAACGGTGATGGAAAATCGAAGTAAATGAGAGTCTGAAAAAAGCAGGACGAAGTAAGAACTTGAAAGTGCTTGAAGCTACTTGACAATGAATGACTTAAACTCGGAAAAACTACATTACCCTCAGTATTAATTTTGAATCAGATTTACTTTTAATTCTAATTTTTCCGAAAACAGCGAAAATCAGCTGGTGTTATCGAATGCCTACAAGAGATGTGTTCAGTGCTACAGGCTACCTTCGGGAACCTACCTACCAAAGTGCTTCAAATTTGGTTGAGAAATGATGGTTCAAGAAGATTTCTATTTTAGTATAGTCATAGAGGAAAAAAATAAATTTTTTAAAAAATTCGTCTTTCCAAGTTTCTTTAATCCTCACAACAAAGCAAACATTGCCACGAAATTTCCTGTGTCCGAAAATCTATGGTTCATATGTTTTCGGACTTTAGGTTTAGCCGATAGGTACGTTCCCGAAGGTAGCCTGTAGCGCTGAATCCCAGTAGATGGAGACTTGGGACATACGGCAGGTTCTAGAGTGACATCTGTTGTATATGAACATGTATTTAGAGCAGTACTTTGC